ATAAGATGTATTCACCCAATTTCTTTTAAGGTGATGAAGGACTGGTAGAAATAGAATTTTCCCACAAATGGACTGACGTTTCCATTGAAGATTTACACAGCTTTGCATTCCCAAAAGTTGTTCTCATCCAGGGTGGACTGCAGTTTCAACCTCGCATTGGTCTTATCAGGAAACGTCAGTCCAACTCATATCATTTGTGGGAAAATTCTACTTCTACCAGTCCTTCATCACCTTAAACACAATTGGGTGAATACATCTTATACGAAATTAGAATAAGTAATTAGCTAGTAAACAAAAAGTAATCGGCTATAATTGTATATTCGGGCTTAAGGTTTAAATTATTTTGCACACATACGTTTATGTATAGATCGTATATAATGATTGATCTTATTGAGCTAAACGAATATTTTTTATGTTGACTACATAAAATATCAAGAGAAACTGGGTTTCGAGGAATTCCTTAGTGATTTATTGTGACCTAACTTTCTAGTTCGAAGGAAAAGTTGAGTAGAAGGAATTCATGATGTGGTCACACAAGGAATCAAAGGAGAGTTTCTGCTTAAGTAATGCTATTGTATTGTGCGAAGAAGTCCTCAGCTTACACCGATTAACCGGGGTCACAAGACGGTGAGCCCAGGTCTTCTTAGCACAATCCAACAATCTTCCTTACGCAGCAATTCTCCTTCGGTTTTGGTGAAAACACATGATGAATTCCTTCAAACTAACTTTTTTTATAAGAAAGTAGGGTTTCGAGATATATGTAAATTCATGTCACAATACAAAAAATATCTTTTTTTAAGTATTTTTTCTTTATACCTTATTTTTGTTTTTTAGGTGCAGGTAAAAGTTTCGGAGAGTTAGCTCTGATAAGTCGGGACTGCATTCGCAATGCTACGATCATCGCAGATGAGATATCTAATCTTATCGTGGTCAACCGGGATCTCTACAACCGGTCGCTACGTGTGTTCCAGGAAGCCGAATTTCGGGAACGTAGCGATTTTGTGAATCATTGTGGTCTGTTCGCCAACTGGATTCGCAGTATGAAAAGACAAGCAGCCATGTCATTGCGTCGGGAGACG